TTGATCAAGCTTATAAGCAGGTAGTCATCACAGATCTCGTTATTTGGTTTCTTCGGGATTGTAATAAATGTTCTCCAGGATTTTACCGCAATTATATATGTTGTTAAAAAGTACAACTAGATTATCAAGGAACTGTTTGTCTGATTTACATAGGATCTTTCGCAGGGTACATTGTCCGGACCTGCTGACTTATTGTTTTTTAGTGCTGCAGTGGCATTTTCTATCTCCGATTTAAGAATTAAAGGTCGTGTTTCTCCTTCTTCATATAGGTGATCATCAGTCCTATCAGATGCAAATAATTTTTCTATGTATGATTTCCATGTTTTTAAGATCGTTGATGGCTCCGAGATAAGATTTCCATCGCCATCTTTTATGCTGTTGGGTGACTTATTAAATTTCCTCTTGTTTGTTATTGATTCTATTTTTTTGTGCATATTGTAACTGTCGTATTTTGTTCATATTGTTCTATTTCCCTGCATTCGTTGGAAAACCATTTTTCTTTGGCTTCTCGAATTTTCGTTCTTATGATTTTGTGGATCTGCTGGTATTTTTCTGGCGTCATCTCTCTATTATGTCCGGCGTGTTCTCGTTATTGTCGTTTATTTTCTTTCCTAGTTGTTCTCGTACTTTTATTTCGGTTTATGGATTAGTGAGTTTCTTAATATTAATTGTGTTTAAATTAGATCTTTTCTCAAGCCGTTTTACTCTCATGACCATTCTGCATACCAAACAGATTGGGGTCCGTAGGAACATCGGCACCAGGGTACGTTTTTGATGATTTTATCATGTTTTTATATCTTGTTGGTACTGCTATATAATTTATCTGATTCCTTATAATGTTGTCAGGTGAGTCAGCAAGGGATTTCCATGTGTAAAGTCGACGTTTAGGGAGCTTGAAGAGTGTATAATTAACAGCAGGTTATATTCCTGGCAGAAGCATATAAGTCTATTACCTCTATCGTTTCTCTTACTTATGCCGATGTTTCTTACGATCTTATTCACCGTACCTCTGCCAACCTTTGCAACCTTCAAAATCTCCCATCACTATTGTTACTTTATGTTTTTTGTCAATTTTTATCCGGCTTCCCAGTTGTTCGTAGAATTCTTCGCTGGTTGCCTCATCTTTATCTGCCGTTGGCGCTTATACCTGTAATATGTTAAGATCCACTATTGTTGCTTGAATATGTGGGGCAACAATTATTGCGGTACCATTTCTGTGATGTGTTGTGTTGTTTCCAGCATAATAAACTTTATATCCAAGTATATCGCATTATCCAGAGTTTTGCCAGTGTGTTTCACTAATTCCCAATACATCAATTTTTAATCAATTCATCTCGTTTACAATGTTATGAGTTTTACCACTCTCGCACATTCCAAGTTCCAATCCTGCCGGGTCTTGGGATCCGATCACCATAATCAGTAATTTTTTTGTTATCGTAGTGTATTGAAATGATAACTATTCTAGGAAATTCTTATGGGATGGTTTTCCGTTGCATTCCCTATCGCAGTACCACAACTATTCAAACTGCTCCAGTCATGCTTGTGGTAGTCCAGTTTCAAGCCGATCCAGAATCATTTCCTCTGCGCCTTGAGCTGGTACTGACGATCGCTGCTGCCCATCATTCATCAGGGAATCACTCGGTGAAATTTTTGCCATATCTGGCTATCCTCACTTAGTTTAGCCTGCAGACTAATGCAGTTGCCTGGGGTGTGGCACGTGGAGCCATAAGTGAGAGTTAGGTGTCTTATAAGGACCAGTTATCTAGAACCATCTCCCGTCTATGACGCTCGATATGGTCGTTCCAATAAAAGGTACTACCTCTATAACATAACCCTACACCCCTGTTTTACTCAAGTTATTACACTTCGCTCCAATGAATTGTTATACCTGAACGTAATTCCTAAGAGTGAACATGCCTCGCAGGCTGGGTTTAATTAAATTGCTTGCTTGTTTTTAACCAAATAGTCAATAATAAATGGAAACACAATAACTCTATTTTTCTTAAAACAATGGTAGTCTGTAACACCAGGGGTTGCGTCAATGCCTGTACAACAACGGTGGTAGACGCTACTTTATTTGTTTTTTCATTGTCAGGTCGTATTGTCGATTTCTATTTTTGCCGTAATTTTGTCCCGTCTTAAAACCATTTAAAACCGAATATAAAGTACGTGCTAAAAATTATTATTTTTAACGATGTAATAACTAAAACTAAAACGTAATAACTAAATTATTTATATATGTATATTTTTTATAATAAATAATTTTATTTTTAGAAATGAGGAGTTTTATAATGTATTAGAAACTATATTTTTGGTAAGTAAAACGTATTTTCAAAATTCTTGGTTGTTGTAGCCAAGAATTGCTGTTAATTTTTAGGTATATTTCTCTGTCTACTGTATATAAACCATAATATTATTTTTGAATATTGCTTTCCCTTCCACAAATTCTTGACATAAACTTTGCACAATTGAAACATCTCCATTTCTCTGCTGGACATTTACCTCTATGATGACTTCTGCCACAATTTTTACAACTTTGATCTGCACTGACAGTTGATCTAAACTTTTGATTTCTATGCTTGCTTCTGTTTAATACATTTAAAATCCTTTAAAATCCACTAATCCCACAAACAAACCTATTCCTTAGAGCCTCTTCTAGAAACTGTCCAAAATTACAAGAATTTGCCAACTTCCTTAGCTCCACACTGTAATCAGAGACAGATTAATCAGCTTTTTGTTCACACCGATTAAAAAAAACGTTCGTAGATTTCGGACACAGGTGGAGAAAAATGTTTAATCAATTTCCCTTTCACTTCTTGGAACGTAAAGTTTATTGGTTTCTTCGGGGCCACTAAGCTTTTCTACACCTGAAAAAAACTCGTACCTCCTAGTGTGATTAACATTGAAACCTTTATATTTTCTTCAACCTTATTAACAGTGAACAAATGTTCTAACCTTTCTATGTAGGATTTAAATTCTTCTGGAACACCGGTAAAAGCTTCAATATTACCTATCAACGTCATGTTGCTACAATAACTAATATCAACCACCTCTCTGTATAAACCCTATCGTAAATAGGAACTTCGCTTTTTTTATCTCGTCGCCAAAATGTTACGTTTAACCCCGTGATACAAATACTAAATTGTACTTTGGTTACTTTATTATGAAATATTTAATACAGAGATGAGAAAAGAGCTTGCTTTCTTCCTTTTGGTTACCTGTCATCTGTCGCCTTTAACAGCCCAACCCAACGTTGCCAAGCAACACAGAAACTTACAATTAAATATACATCAATAGCAATAATCGTTTTTCTTTAGTTCGTTCATCGGTGATCAATTTGCCTGTTTAAGTCTTCAATTTATCTGATGTTCAATTAACTTATTTTAATCTAAGCACTCCATTCTCATACCTGTAAGACTTGTAACCATAACCTGTGATGCTTCTCTGAAATAGTCCTCATCCGAAAATTCGAACGCAGATTCAGATTGCTTCTTTAGACGTTGCCATTAATTTAGTAAATTTTTGTAATATTGGAAAAAGTATTTTCCTTATTATGGCGATACCGAAATATATTTTGCAATACACTACCAATGTGTTGCCTTACATCCGCTGACATTTTTCTGTACAGGCCAAGATCCCTGCTGTAACGATTGTCCTTTCAACCAATGTATCGTTGTACATATTTCGCGAAACAATAAAAATCGGTATTACGTTTTATCGTTTTTTCAAAAAGTATCTTTAGTTTCAATATTTAGTCGAATATCCTTACATCCTGTTTGTTACTATGATTGATAATTGTGTACTGTTGCTGTGAAACAAACTGTTATTTTTTAATAATTTATAAACGGAGCTACAAACAGTTATTTTTTAAACAATAAAATATTGCTTGCGTATAGTTTTTTTAATAATTTTAAAAAGTAAGATTTTAACTGATAAATTCCATTCACTGCGAACCTTTTTCTTTTAGTATTTTATGCATTATACTCGAGATTTAACTGAGATTAATTTTAGTTCTTAAAAAATAATAACCTAACAGAAACGGCGAAACTACTCAACAAAGAATGTAATCAAAACGGTATACAATTGAGCAATATTTCTGGAAAAGTCCTATACAAATGTTCCCATAAAGGGCCGATAAGAGAAAAGATTAGGTCGGCAGATGAACGAATTGTGCTGTATACATTTTTGCAGAAAGTAAGTATTTTTAAGGCGGAAGTAAATATAAATATATTTAACAGGTATTTTAAGGTTGGAAATGGCGAGGAGAGTGATACAATTTGTGAGAGCGACGATTTGCGATATCAATTTCAACAACTTCAAGAAGATTATAAAACTTTATTAGGTAAGTAATATACAAAAAGTAAATGTAGATCAGAGGTCATCAAACTTTTTTGGTGTCGGAAACCATTAAAATCTAAATGTTTTACGGAACCCTAGACCCTAAAGCTCTAAACTAAAAGCAAAACAAGTTATATGTGTATAGTTTATTAATATTTATACAAATAAATCTAGATACAGTAAGACTTACTGAGTAAGTGATCAGATAGTAAGCAAATGATAAAACTAAGTTCATTTAATGGGAAGTATGACATTGTTTTTTATTCCTCATCAACTGGGTAATGTCAGGTTTGATAGAGTCAGGTTTGATAGAAGAAAGTTGAATTCTCATGTTTGGTTTGGCATCCAGTCTATTGCACTATTTTGTTTTCGTAGCTATATGCTGAAAGTCCCGTCTCACATAAGTACGCTGTTGTAACCGGCAGAAGAACATTTTATGTGAAAAGTTGTTGATATTTCTTACAAACTCTGCACCGAAAACCATTTATTGGAATTGTTTTGAATTTCACAATTTTTACTTCAGAATTTTTCAAAACGATTTCCAGATTGGAAATTGATACATCAAAACAAAAAAAAATCTAATTTTCATTACGAATAATTCTTGTTTAGTTCAATCTATAAAAAATATGTTTGATTGCCCTGTGATTGTTTCTTGACATAAGAAAATTTATCAAAAATAAAAACTTTCAAAAACATTTTTTCTATTCTATTAATAGATTATTATTTTCAGATGTTACGTTCGAATTAACAAATTTGTTGCAAATGAATTTGGCAGAACAAGCTAAAAATGTACAACTGGTACTCACTCAGTGTGAATTTTTACACCCATCATTGTTTAAGCCCGTAAAAATACCAAGTGGTTGCGGAACTGACAAAATTTCAACATCGGAAAAAAGTGATTATATAAATTCTGAAAAGAAAGGTGTACATAGTCAAGAAGTAGACGAACAAACAAATATAACCACTCCAACAGGTAACTTTTAAAGCTTTTAATACTAAATAATGTTTAACGCGGTAAATATTCTGCTTGTTTATTCCATCTTTTTTGCTATACTTTTTCTATCATTTTATCTCTTTATTTATTTTCTATTTTATTTATCTCTTTTTTTAGCTATTTTAGCTAACTATTTTAACACCATTATGGTTTCCTCTATTCTATTTATGTGAAATGTAAATATTTCATTTTTTGTTTCACTCTTTTGGAAATTTTCTGAACTTTTGCATAAAGACGTCTTATGAAATCGATCTACGTATAATACAAAGAACAGCGTAATTCTAGTTTGGCAATTCATTTGCTGGGAAAGCTATAGGACGTTGTATACATTATAGTCAATTGAGTTTTTTTTTATTTACTCAAACGATACTTAACTGTTCTGATGTTATTTGCACCTCTTGTACTATACTTATGTAAGTCAGAGTGTTTAATTAAAGTATCAACGTTTTTATGTATTTCAACGTTAACGCTGTAGAGCTATAATGTTGGCAAGGGCATTATCTTATATTTAATAAACAACGGTTTGCAAGATTCCAAGTACCTAACTTTTGCAATTATTCTTATTGCTTTTTTTGCAATTTAAATATTGTTAGAACATTGCAAGAGTTTCCCCACAGAATAACACCATAGCTTAAAAATGAATGAAAAAGAGAAAAGTACGTTATTTTCAAGGTATCAACACTTGTTACAAGTTTTAATTGTCTGAGTAAAAATAACGTACTAGAAAGTTTAACTTTCAGATAGTCAGTATAATTATACCAAGTCAATGTGTTATGCCCAACAATTTGATATTATTTTTTTCAACACTCACATCGAAGGTAGACGAAAAAATTAAATTTTGAGTTTTTTTGATCATTTATTTTAAGTTTATTTGCTAAGAACCATAATTGACCATTGGAATTTACATACTCAGACGTGGTTTCTAAAACTAAACGGTTTTCATCAGAAAAAACAAAAGTAGTGTCATCTACAAATAAAACTGTTTTAAAAGGAGCCGTGAAACTGGGTCACAAAGTCATTAACATATATTATAAATAATAGAGGGCTCAGAAATGATCCTTGTGAAACTCCATGCTTTATCTGCTCGGAGTTCCAAATTCAGAGAGACAATTTCCATACTTGACTTCTTGGTATCTATCCCTTAGATACGATGAAATTAGTTCCAAATGAGTACCTCTTATACAGTAAAAACACAGTTTTTTAGCAAAATATCATGAGAAACACAGTCGAAGACCTTTAAAAGATCACAAAAGATCAGTTGTAAGCAAAATTTAGTAATGCATAAAAAGTGATATACTGATGTATATTAATGATTATTCCCTGACGTATGTCTATATATGTCGTATATGTATATTAATGATTCCCCATTTTAGGTTTCTTCATAACACTAAAATATTATATAAGGTTAGCTCAAATATCTTCAACTTCAGAAAGTTTAATTTACAATTAATATTCAAAATTGTCTTTATTTTGATCTGTTGCTAGGTTAGGTGGCGTAGTTACCCTACCGGACAAACAGTGTGACTTATCGTCCTTATTTCCATATTTACTGTAATTCTTCTTTGATTTGATTTGTTGTTTCTGATGCAAACATTATTACATTGTTGCTATTCATTAAATAGTGTAGTTAAGACATTCAGCCGTCTATTTGCTTTTTGTACTTAATATCTCATCTCTCTCCCCAGGTTTCATTTTCAATGTTTCTATCGTTTTGTCTTCTCTATTGGCTCTTTCTCCCTCCAGCGTGACATATGGGTGCCTGTTTTGTAAAAAGAATTCGACAATTTGTACTAGGTAGTAATATTTGAGTATACTATAGAGTTTTGTCAGCAGCCTTCTGTGATTCTCTGTAATGTAGCCGGAGCTTAAGTTGATCAGTGCAAGTTCTGTTATTTGTTTATTTTCGCATCTCTCTTATACATATGTATTTAATGAGATTGGGAATTTGGCTGGTGCATGTTTTGACGGGTCTGAACCCACATTTTGATGACACGCAAATAACGTAACCCGAAAATGTAGTGATCTAGCAAATGAGGTTTATTTTGTATAAAAAAAGCTTTAAATGCTCTGTATAACCACAAATTAGAACGGAAACAACTAACGTTGATACTAAACTGTTATTGAACTTGTCCTTACCTACATGTCAGAAACATGGACGATAAGGAAAATCATTAAAGTTGGTAAATTTTAAAAATAAATAATTAGGCCATAAAATTAATTCGCTTTTAATTTGACAATATGACGAATCATTGTTAGATAAATTTCTACAGCCTTAACGATAATAATCAGTCTAAATTATTTTTTATTTCATAAAATTTGGCTCCGTATTTTTAAATTAATTTATATTTGTATTATGTTCTAGTGCCTTTAGGAACATCACCATCTTCCCAAAATGAGGTAAAGTACGTGCTAGAACAAATTCTTGAAAATGTTGTTAAATTAGAAACAAACAATCAGGAATATACATCAAAAAATAATATTCAAGAAATGAGATGTTTATTAGAAGATATCCTTGAAAAAGTATGTATATACTAGTTGTTATTAAAATAAAAATAAAATAAAAAATAAAAATAAAAACGTTTATTGCTAATAAAATATATTAATTATAACTTAAGATATTTAAAACTTAAAAATTATCGTTTTCTTTCTTTTAATCTCTTGCATCTGCATCATGTACTGTCTGAACCAAATCATCTTCGGGTGTTATCGTACCTACTTTCCTGATTAGTCGTCAATGGCAACCACCTGGCTAAAGTTAATTAAATTACCTCTTGAACATCATTTCACCTTTTCTGCACAGGATTGCTCTGCTAGTAAAAACGGAGTGATTAACTTTGTTGTAATGTACAGAAAACTAGCTTATTTCAGAAAAACGTATACGTCTGCTATATAAACTTTGAAACTGTGTTAAGCCTAACTTTTGAAATAAATGTAATTAGCTGGACTAAAGATGCTCTTTAAACTCGAAACAACGTAAATAGGTTGGAAGCATAGGATGCTGCTGCTGGTGTTCAATTGTGAGTAATTCGTGGACAATACATGCTACCAACAAGGAGGAACTTAAAATTATCAATACAGTCATCATCATCATTATCATCCAGTCTTCATTTATCACGTCTACTGCTGGATATAGGCCTCCCTTAACTCCTCCATTCTTTGCGATTTTGTGCTCTTTGTTGCCAATTTTTCGTAATACTCCCGATGTCGTCAGCCCAACGTGTAGGTGGTCTTCTTCTACTACGTTTGTCTGGTCTTGGCCTCCAATATGTAATTTTACTCGTTCATTGTGAGCCATGCATTCTCGCTACATGGCCTTCCCATTTCCATTTAAGTTCCGCTATGCGTTCCACAACACCCAGCACTCCCAGCATAGATTGTTCTATTCATCTCTGTGCCACTCTCAATTTCGAAGCCGTAGTCTTGGTTAGAGTCACAGTTTCCACCCCGTAGGTCATGACCGGTAATGCGCATTAGTAATTGCGTATTACTGGTCATGACCGAGCATTGACCAATGCGTAAAAAAAACCAATCAATACAGTATCTGAAACATAATTAAAAGATGAAAAACTAAATACTTTGGTCACATAATCAGAAGACGATACCATAGGTACTAACTACTGTAGTAACTCATGATTCAAGGAGAAGTCGAAGAAGAACGAAGGATTAGGCATAAGGAATTATTTTGAATAAGTAGCACAAGACAATGGAATGGATATTAGAACAAAGATCTGTCATAAGTTTCAATACGAGAAGACCGTATTGTTTAACAAATTTGAAAAAATTCGTATTCGGCATTTATCTATATACGATTTTTAATTTTTAGTTTAAACTTTTGATTCCCATACCTTAGTCAATAAGCTCTTTAAGGGTTTATGTGGTTGTATTAAAAATAATTAGCAAAATCTCCCTAACCCATCAGTTCTGAAAGAAACAGATAACACTGCAACACGCAACAAAATCGTTTGCACATACCATACAAGAGCATCGAAATACCTACTTTACCTATTTATTCATTAGCTGTTACATATTACTGTCTTCTACAACTGTATAAAGCCCTGTTTTGATATATATGTTACACCACAAGTAGTTGGACAAAGCCTAGACAAAGTTGACGGAACCGATTATATCAATAGGCTAATGTAAACTCGGCAATAAAGCGACTGCAAAGTTCCATCTTTTGTCCCTGAAAATAGTTTAAAAATCATATTAAATAGCTGATCTAAATTGGTTACCTACCATTCTGATAAAATCCAGGGTCATTAATACTTTGTAAAGTTAACACATTTTACGGGGTATGTCTTCTTCTTCTTCTTCATGTACCATGTCCTTTCAGAACGTTGGTTACCATCATAGCTATTTTAATTTTATCCACTGCCACCCTAAATAGCATGCTTGTATCTACACCACACCAATCTTGCAAGTTCTTCAACCATGAGGTTCTTCTTCGTCCTGGACTTTGCCTGCTTTTTTTCCTTGCATGATATTTTGTAGCAATCTATATTTGGGACCTCTCATTACATGTCCGAAATATTCCAGCTTTCTCTGCTTGATGCTTTTTATGATCTCAGTAGTCTTGCTGAGACGTTCTAGTAATGTGGAGTTACGAATCTTCTCCACCCAGGAAACTTTTAAAATTCTTCTATAGCACCACATTTCGAAAGCCTCAAGGCGATTTAGATCGATTTTATTCACAGTCCAGGACTCGACAGCATAAAGTAAGACCGAGAACACGTAGCAGCGAAGTAGGCGGATCCTTAATGCCAATTTTAGGTCTCTGTTACATAACACCTTGGACATCCTTCTAAAAGCAGCTCTAGCCTGCTCTATTCTGGATCTAATTTCGCCGTGATTTTCTGCATTACAATTTAATTGCTGTCCAAGGTAGACGATTTTATCAACTTGCTCAAGTTTGGTATTATTTACATATATAGACGGTTTTATATGCTGTTGTTTACTTATTACGAGTATTTTGGTTTTCCTTATGTTAAGATCCAGACCTGCCTCCCTACAACTCTCAACGACACTATCAAGTAGTGTTTGCAGATCTTCTTGACTGGAAGCTAGGAGTACTGTATCGTCCGCATATCGCAAATTATTGATGACTTCGCCGTTCACAAGTATTCCTTCTTGTTTTTCAGAAAGTGCTTTTCTGAAAATTCTTTCGGAGTAAACGTTAAAAAGCAGGGGTGACAAGAGGCATCCCTGCCGTACTCTTCTTTTAATATTGAGAGCTTGTGATTCCACACCATCTACTAAAACTGATGTTGTTTGATTCCAATATAAATTTGCAATTATTCGAACATCTCTGCCGTCCAAGCCAATGTCTTTTAGAGCTTCAATCAATATAGTGCTTAACACGATCAAATGCCTTTTGAAAGTCAATCAAACAACAGTATATGTCTACAGATATATCACGACATCTTTGAGCAAGTGCGTTCATTCCAAACAGTGCCTCTCTCGTTCCAAATCCGTTACGGAAACCAAACAGAGTGTCATCCAGGTATTCCTCACATTTATTCTAGATACGACCATGTATTACCTTCAGAAAAATTTTCAATAAGTGGTTTAACAAACTGATGGTTCTATAATCAGCACAGGTTTTTGCTGTTGTCTTCTTAGGTAGAGCTATAAACAGTGAGTTAGACCAACCATTAGGTAGTTGTCCGCTGGTATAAATAGTATTGAAAAACGAAGTTATAGCCTCTAAAACATTGCTATCCTTTATAAGCTTATATATTTCAGTTGGAATTTCATCAGGACTAGTCGCTCTGCCATCTTTTGATGATTGTATGGCCTTTATAACCTCACATCGTGTTATTAGGGGTCCGTCGTAGTTAGTAATATCGGGAGGTGAACTACTCCTATCGTCTTCGAATAGGTTTGTGACGTAATTTTCCCATTCTTTAAGTTTGTCCTCTACTTCGAATATTACTTTACCATTTTCATCCTGTAGCAATGCATTTTGTTTCTTATTGAAGATAAAAGCCGCTTCTTTTTTTTATACATGTTAAACGTGTCGTATATTTTTTCGAGTTCTTCAATGTCATGACGCTATTTGGCTAGATGTTGACTCTTTGCTTGTCGTATTTTACGTCGAATTTCTTTTTGTATGGTATTGTAAAGTGTTTCGTTGGTTTTTGCTAGTCGCCGTTGTTCCATCAAATCCAGTATATCATCTGTCATCCAAGCCTGCTTTTTTGGCTTTGACCTGCCTTGTAAATTTCTCACACAGATTTCTTTTACTGTCGTTACGATTTTATTTAAGCCCTCATCGACGTTTTCACCAATATTTTCCCAAATTAAATTTTCGTTCAGTTGTCTTTGAACTGATTTCTTAACTTTCTCGTCTTGTAGTTGGGCTGTATCAATCTTTTTGCGAGACTTCTTTTTGATCACCTTTTTTAATTTTAATTGGGATACAGCTACTATGGGATTGTGATCGGACCCAATGTCAGCACCTGGATAAGTTTTAACTGATTTGATGCAGTTTCTAAATCGATTTTTTTATTAGAATGAAGTCGATTTGATTCCTAATAATTTTGTCCTCTGATTCTGCATTTGACTTCCAGGTGTAGAGTCTTCTCGGTGGTAGTTTAAAATGGGTATTCGATATAATGAAATCGTGTTCTTGACAGAACTGGACAAGTCGATCTCCACGTTCGTTTCTGTTTCCCAAGCCATATTCCCCCACAATGTTCAAACAGCGTCCTTTGCCGACTGTAGCGTTAAAATCTCCGAGGACTATGGTATTTTCTGCTGCTTTGACAAGATCTAGAGCATCAGTAAGATCTTTGTACAATGCTTCTAATTTATCTTCATCACTAGATGATGTTGGGGCATAGACCTGAATTACGTTGATAATGAACGGCTTTGAACTAAATTTTACTAGCATTACTCTGTCAGATATGGGAATATAAGTTAAAACTGATTGAGCTAAGTGTTTTGCTACTACGATTGCAACTCCATTATAGTGATTGGCATCTGTATTTCCGGCATGGTATACTTGATATCCATCTACGTCACATACTCCTGATCCCGGGCATGTCTACATCTGTCAATATCAGGTACTTACTTCTTACATCAACAGAGGTAACATTGCATTTGAAAGGACAATCATTTTCTCGGCTTTTCCAGTCCAACTTTAGCCCCGTTTCGTTCATTATTTATTTTCTCATTTGGTAACAATGCTTACTCAGCTTTCCCATAGATAATATGAATAGATAAGTAACAAACTGAATATTTATGAGTATCTGAAATTTATTGTTTGCACATTTACACATTTTTCTTTCTTGTTTATTTTTGGTGTTCCTTCTGTATGTCAAACTATTTTTCTGAACTAGTGTCAAATATTTATCTTTACATTTGTTTGATTTTTTCTAATCGCACAACTTTTGTATTTCTTCTTATGTTGGATAGGAGTTCCTCGAATCTTTATCACTAATCCTCTGAGGTTTACCAAACATATCTTTATAACGACTTTTAGATATTTCTGTATGCAAAAAACGATTTTTTTTGCTTTGTCCAAATGGCATTCTTTTACACCCTTTATGTGCTTTGGTTAGCCAACCATGTAACCAACAGATATTATCTCTTACATCTTGGTTCTATCTCTATATGGACACTTGACTTTGCAAATGGCGAAGTTCTCATGGGCCAATTTTAATCCGTGCCACATTTCAGCAAAAATTTTACAATGAGGTTAGCAAATTCTCTACCGTTATCGCTTTATAAAATCATAGATTGCCGAACAAACGAAAAACATATAATAAATGATAAGCAACTTCTTCAGTTGTCTTTGTTCTCAATGCCCGTAGCACGGTGAATTTTGTTAATTGATCCTGATAAGTGAGCACGAAACAAAAACCCAAACCCCCTCCCCAACGTTTTCGTTGCACTTTCTTTTTTACTTTATAAAGGCTTGAAAAAAAGTAATTAATTAAAACTCAATTATTTGTCATTTTATGTTACAATATTTTATTTTCCTAGGAGCTTATACCCCTACATGAGCGATATTAATGATGTCAAATAATTCGTTAGTCGTACAGAAATACCTCAGCAGTTTCGTTCGCCCTTCTCTCTACGAGCTTCTTCGTTTCGCCAATTTTTAAAATATTTTCAATCGTCGCCTTTCTTTCGAAGAAATTGTATCTATGTTATTTTTACAAGCTTATGCTTTCTTTACTTCTGTAAGTATTCGATTGTATCTTCCTCTTATAAAATATTACTACAATTGATGCTATCATAATGTGTAACTTATTGCAGACATCTGTTTTTGAACGTTTTTTATAGCTCGTTGCGTTCTTGCAACATGACGAATGTCAGAATGCGTTTTGGTTTACGTTAAACGGCCGTTAAGGGATATGGGTAAATAGCTGGTGAACATAACGCATTTTGGCTATATTTTTTTTTCATTTTAACCATTGGCCGAAATCAGTCTTTGATCCTACACAATATTGGTTAAATTATATCAGTCTGTATATTATAGGTAATAATGTCTCCAAGGGAAAAACGTACAGAAGAAACCATATGCCATAAAATCAATGAAAATATTTTTACCACATCTGAAAATTCTCTTCCGATTCCATTGAATTCTGGCGAAAACAAAAGAAATTTTCTAAGTATGGATCAATATTCACTAGGTGCTAAAGTTAAAACTTCAAGTCAAAAAATGGACGTAAAACTTACCTGCAATACTATCACAGAAGAAGCGCACTTACAAGAAGTACCCAATTTAAAGATCATGGATGAAGTTCCTCGGAAAAGAACCAAAGATCAAACCAAATTCAAATTTTCGAAATCTCAAAAAAACGCGTTGAAATTTCCACAAACACCTTTATGTTATTTAGAAGTTTGTAGAAAATTGGATGATGATTCTAAAAATACTTGCAAGTAAGTATTTCGAATTTATAAATAAGTGTATTTTGTATTACTATAAATAGTAGTGTTAAAAATTCTGGTGATACGTTCAGTCTGAGACGTATATAGGCATTTTTTTTTCGGTGTATTAAAAAATACCTTTGTAATCCAAACACATTTTCTTCAAGGTTTCAACAAAATTTAGGTATTTTTTAAGCCTTGTAGAATTGAATGAAAACTGCAAATAGTCCTTTAAATTAGAACATAAATACTAAACTGATATTGGTTATTCTTTTCATGGCAACAGCCTCTCAAATTAATTGCGTAGATTAAAATTGTCATGTTTTTGGTGTAAATTTTCAATGACTGGATGCGCCTTTCTGTCAAAGTATTAATTTTTTTTTCCAAAATATTTTGCTTTCAATGAATCTTTAAATTAGTAACTATTTTTGATATCATACCGATTTACCGATATCCATGATGATTCTTCTGCTAAGCTCCACATCTTCAATGTTGTCCTTTGTGGTATTTGTCTTATGTTTGTTCTTATGAAATAATATACTTTTATTCTTTTTAAGTTTTACTTGAAATCTTACATATTACAATGTGCTTAACCTATATTCGCTAAGTGACCTGAAGTTGGTCATGGTCTTCTTGAAGCTGTCATAGTCATATGCTTAGAACATAAAAGTAGTTCCAAGGCCATATGAGACATCTTCCCCTTATACACTTTTTTAACAAAACTACAACTGAGAAACAAAAATAACTATTCTGACTATGCTCTAGGAATACATCTATGAAAGCTATGTCTAACTTATAACTAATCTTTATACCTAGCTGGTTTTACAACAGCTCTACCAGACCTTGTTGTAACTGTCATACTATTAATACCTAAATTCAGGTTACTGTTACAATTTAAGTTACTAGACACAATTTTGATTGAAACAGTTGGTTCATTTGAACAAATCTCAAGCTTAAAGTTATTATTGTTATTATTAATATTGAACCTTGTTTGTGAGGAGCTAGGTTCAGACCTAATGAGTGGAGACATATATTCTTTCTGAATGGGGGGACATTCATTTGGTGATGGTCTTAAAAATGAAGTATTTCGTCTCGTTACCCTGCCAAAGTTATCCCGAACCATATACGACCTAGGAGCATCACATTTCCCTACAATTTCCCCTGGTATCCAGTGTTTCTCCGTTTCTAACCTTAAATTCTGACCTACCTTTCGAACTTTGATCGTAATGAATCTTATCCTTGTTTATTTTTTCAGCCAGTTTCTGTGACTCACTGTTCAAGGATGGTTCCAAATGTTTACCTGAAAGGGGAAGGATACTACGCAATTGTTTCTTAAAAATCAATTCTGCAGGCGAAATATTGCACCCTGCTAAAGGAGTGTTCCTATATTCTAATAACGCATTAAAAACGTCTGTATTTGATTCTAGACTTTTTCTCAAAATATTTTTACATATACCTACTGCCCTTTCTGCAAGACCATTAGATTTTGGATATAACGGACTTGATGTTTGAATTTTAAATTCCCAATCTTTAGCAAAACTGTGACATTCGGCACTATTAAATGGCATATTGTCAGTAATCAAAATCATAGTTATACCAAAAGTTAAAAATATTTGTTTTAATTTATAAATCACATCGCCCGAGGTCTTAGACTCTAACTTTTTTAGCTCAATCTAATTCGTGTAGTAATCCACTACTACCAAATAATCTCTACCACCAAAAGTTAAAATATCACATCCAACTTTATGAAAAGGTATTTTAGGTCTATCATGTGGAAGTAAAGGTTCTTTGGTTGGTTTCCGTGAAAATTTAAGACAAATATTACATTTTGAAATATAATTTTTAATATCTGTGGTCATATCTAACCAGTAAAAAATTTTCCTGGCTCTTGACTTAGTTTTTCCATTCCCAAGTGTGCAATATGTAATTTATGAAGCATAAGGCTTTGTAAACTTTTGGGAACCACTAGTCTGTCATCATAAAATATTAAGTTATTTTTTTCGTATAAATCATTTTGAATTTTAATACATGTTTTTAATTCAGAATTAAAATTTTGAGAATTTTGTGGCCAACCATTACTTAGAAAGTTTTTAACTGTAGACAAAGTTGGGTCATTTTTAGTTGCAATCTGTAGTTCTTTTAATCTCTCTTCAGATATAGGCAAATCTATCTCAAGAGAATGTACCTACTGTTACCAATATTTCTTTATCATCTCTACTCTTGGTTTGTATGAATGACATAGAGAGTAAGTCTGCTATATACATATGCTTCCCAGGTAAATACTGTACCTCCAAATTTTTTAGCTCTTTGCAACACTTTTGAGAAAATTAAATCATGTGTTTCCTCATCAGATGCTGGAATAATAAGATCATCAAAATATATCCCAATATCTAAATATCCAAAAATCTTTTCATTTATACGTTGAAATGCCTGTGGAAAACCAAATGCCAACCTCTTGAAACAAAATTTTCCAAAAGGTGTGATAAAAGCAGTGTACTTCATACTTTCCTTGTCAAGAGGAACATGATAAAACCCTCTTTCAAGTCTAATACTGTAAATATTGACTTACCTTCAATGACAACTCCTCTATGGTGGGTATAGGAAGTTGCTCTGTACATAGGTATGTTATTATTTAAATGCATTGGATCTAAGCAAATTCTAAGACTTTTATTAGGCTTTTCTACAATTACAATGTTGTTAACCTATATTCGTTAAGTGACCTGAAGTTGGTCATGGTCTTCTTGAAGCTGTCATAGTCATATGATTAGAAAATCAAAGTAGTTCCAAGGCCATATGAGACAGTATTGACTTCTAAATAGATAAATCTATCAACTTTTTCCAAGTTGTCAACTGTGAGGTATGGTCGTGTTGCTTTCTCCGATCGGATTTGTACTACGATTTGTTTTTAAGTGTTTATTGATAGACTGCCGGTGTTTATTGGCTAAATATGCTGCCAGTTGGACTGATTTATTGATCTTCTTCTTCTTTTAGTGCTGACTCCACTAATGAAACTCTCACCTTGGCTATAAACATGCAACATGCAAAGTTATCTCTATCTGCCGCTTTTTTACAAGTGTCTGTGTGTTAAACCGGGTCCAGTCGTGAAAGTTTTTCAGCCAGGATATTTGTCGTCTACCAGGACTCCTTTTTCCTTTGATTTTGCCCTTCATAATCATCTGCAAAAATTCGTACTTCACATTTTTAAGTATATGCCCCAAATATGCTGTCTTTCTACTTTTAATGGTGGTGAAAAGTTCACTGTGTCTTCCCACTCTATGCTAAACCATTTCGTTCGTAATATGATCGGTCTATGGTATTTTTAAAATTCTCCTAAAAATCCACATCTCAAAATATATGTCTCTGAATAATTACTCGATGGTAGATCTTTTTTGCCTTAATCCTACCTGGTATTTCCCGATGATCTTCTCTGCTAGGGTTGTAATCTATGGTTAAGTATACTGGTAAATATTTTCTATCCACAACACAGCAAGAAGATTCTCCTATAGTTTTGACAGAGGATTTTATCGACCTTTTTATGGATTGAGCAGAACATACTTTTATTTCACTCTTTTGGCATTTTCTCTTATCTGTATATGACTTCATATATCCTTTTCATTATTTCCCTCCCTCCCAACATAAATAAGTTCGCAGGTATTTCATCACATCCAGGGGCCTTGTTATTTTTCTACAGTTTGATGGTCTTTTTAACCTCTTCTGTCGTTGGCGGCTTTATCTCTCGTTCTCCTAATTTCCGCTTCATCTAATAGCTAATGTTTTGTGATTTATCGATATAATATCCATATATTGATTTAGTTAGAGGCTCCATCAGCGTTTTTTTTTAATTTTGTTTCAGCTTTTTGTGCTTATATATGTGCTTATTTTTGACTTAATCCGAGTTTTACTTTTAAGGCTGTCCACAAGTGTTAAAATGTGCCTCTCAACGTCTGTATATCCACTTTGTTCTTACTAAATAAAGGTGATTCACTTTTTGCCTCAGATTTCCTTTTTACGCTATTGTTGCGCTATTTACATACTTTGATATATTCTATTAGATTACTTTTAAATTTTAACATAATTTAAATTCTGTTTCAGGTGTATGAAATGTCTTCCCCAGCAAAATAGATATTACTGCTCATGTTTTGATTTGATTTGTAAAGACTTGGACGAGAAAACGGAAATAATTCAAAATGAACCCGTACCGCTATTACAAAAACTACAAGATCAGAATCAGTTAAAACCTAGTAAAAACAAACCAAAACGAAAAGTACTAGGCGATGTTTGCGACATATGCAGAGAAAAGAAATGCAATTGTGCCTTTAAATCTAGACCAAAAATAGGAAGATCACCGCCAACATAGCTAGTAAATAGTTTTGTTTATATTTGAATAAAAAAGTTAAATTTTTAAAAATTTTGTTTTTTTTTCCGTAGAATGAAATTTTCCAATACTGGTTTCGACACAAAAATTTAAATTTTTCTCAGATTTTACTAAAGAGACGAAAAACATTTAAAAATGACAACAAAGAGGTCCATTTAGTGCTTTTTATAATCGTATATAATACAAAGATAGTTCGTTTGTATAGATATAATACATCTAGTTATACAATTAAATAATTTGACGCCGTTTTTATTAACACAAAAAAATATTGTGTTTAAAAATTTTTATTAGGTAACTAATATAATTATTTCACGACGTATCAACTAATAATATATCTGAAAAAAAAAACGGGATGTGGCACTCAGGAAGTGACCGAGAAGAGGAAGCATAGCTTTCTTATAGTATAAGCCAACAGCGATGGTTTTAATTTACTTTGTTTTATTTTATTTTATTTTATTCTATTTTATAGAATAATAGATAGTCTAATAGATAATAATAGATTAATAAGATTCGATAGTTAAAGAAGTAGCAGAAAGTTTTTGCTTTGGTTTTTTTTCAAGTGTCCTGTTTGGTTTATAGCCACTTTGAGCCGCCTACCTTTGGGAGTCAAGCAGAAGTCAGGGGAAGAATATTTTGATTTTGTTTTTATGGGATATTTTTTTAAGAAGAAGGTTTAAGTTAAAACCTAGTCAGGTTACACCTGGTTCCAGGGTTGATTTTTTTGACGTAGCTGTTCCCCAGTGGTCCAGATCTGACCTGATTATTCCCGGACAATTTTGAGAAATCAGCGGGAAGTATCTCCCGCCTTCAGAGCATAAGTTGTAGTAAACCTGTATTAAGTTATTTACTAGTTTTAATTATTTTATATATTTTTTTAACGTTAAATCATACTATTTTCACATAATAATAAAAAACGTCATTTTTTCTAAAATAATACTTAATCATATTTAGGGACTAAGTAGGTTGAGGTCCTAAATCCTCCCTTTTAACTCATTTGTACGATTTCTTGTGCACACATTTAATCAGAGAGTTATTTATTGATATTTTATTATTATTATATATTTCAACCTTTAGACATCTATCTCTTCAGGATAGTGTCCTTATTACTTGTTAAGACATTTAATTGAAAGCTGAAATACAAAGTTACATCTCTAGTAGGCAAGTAAATTACCTTTTTAGGTATAGTCATTAAATTTATTCTTATATTTTATTATTTGTAAATTCAAATTATCAAGGATCAGTTCTGTGTAACCAGGGTATTTATATTCTTTTTGTATATAAGTAACTAGATTAACTGTACATAATTGGTGGTGGGAAACTATATAAAAATTATATTGTATATATTTGGATAGGGATTAAAATTTGTGGTGAAAACTAAATATTTTAATTAATACCTGTTTCCCTTTTATTGCAGCAAACAGCTTTACAAGATACCTTAGAAGGTATGTCCCTAGTAACACACGACGTCCTATGGACGTCCAATATACGTCCAGTTTTGGTCCGGACGTCCCTGGACGTAAAATGGACGTACTATGGACGTACGAAGTGGGACGTATTTTGGGTGGACCAAATATGGACGTTCTCTGGACGTCCGTACTCGGACGTTCCCTGGACGTCCATACTCGGACGTTCCCTGGACGTCCGAACTCGGACGTTTTCTGGACATCCGACATTTACCAATTATGGGATCAAATAGCAAATATTTCAATAAAATAAAAAATTATTTACGTTAATAAAATAATTAAAAGCGAAAAGGTTAAATCACAATTAATTAAAAATTGTATAGTTTAATATATCCAAAACATGTTTTTGTTTTTAGGTAAAGTGTAAAAATCTTTTATTTCTAGATAATTCGTTACAATTGTTTTATTATTCTAGTTATCAAGATAATAATATATATGTTTGCTAATTCTAATAAGTAAAAATATGATTTTTATCGACAAGATGAATCTTGATAATCTTTTCCACAGAATAATTGTCTCTTTTGTCTTTTCAAAGACAAAATAATGAAAAATAATGATGTGATATGACATGTGATGATTGATGAAATTAATTGTCAATATTGTCATTGTCATGTCATACCTATTTAAACAAATGGCACAGTTTAATCATAATATTATTATTATTATTGCTTTAATAAAAGAAATAAAATAACTCTATTTAAGCAGTGTACAGTGCATTGGTCTTTTTGATGCTTCCTTTGATAGTATATTGTTAAAAGTTTGGTATCATTTTTGTTAGGTTATTTCCGAATTTGGTTTTTATTTTATTACAAAAAGGTAAGTAATTTTTCTTAAAATTGTTTATGTTTAAAAGTAAACGATTTGTTTCTAAGCGTCATCAACAGAGGAAGGTTACGAAAAACGTAGAGAATATTGTTGAAAATATTAATAACCCCCATATTCCGTCTTCTTCAAACCTCTTCGGTCTCACTAACTGATAATTTTGACGAGAGTTTCAGTTCAAATATGTAGTTCTGGTTACAATACTTCCGATTTAAATTTTTTATTAACATGTTAAGTGCCTAAAATAATCCAAATTACCACGTGGCCGACCATTCCAATGATACTTTACAAAGCTTTTTTTCAATGAAACTGAAGAAGGGTTTAAATATGGTTGTAACGAGAATTCTCGAGAACCTTATCGAGATGTTTTTAATTTTTCTAATAATTTATTCAACTGGACTTTGTCCTTTAATACTAGGTGATTTATTAAAAAATCTTAAAGAAGTTCCCGATCTTTCTCATTTAAGTTCAGATGCTAGAACCCTTCTTGCTTCACCCAGAGAACAATTACTCTGATCCATATGATTCAAATTTCAAACATATTTTTATCTTCACAATAAAACAATGTTATATAAATGTGTGTAAATTTTGATGGAATCTCATTAAAAAAGAGTTTTAGTAGTCAGTTTTATCGTAGTTTGCATAATTTGTTGATATATCCTAAAATTGTAAATTTAATAGACATTTACCATGGTTATGAGAAACCAAAATTTGCAAATGAATGTTTGTTTGATTTTTTAACAGAGCCTGTTTTTTTATTAGATAGTTTAAACTAAAATAATTAAGCATGGATGATCAAGTTTGTGGGGTAGTTAGATTACTGTTACATGTTGATTTATATTTTAGGATAATGAGCTTTCCAAAATTGGTGAGGAAACCATGAACGAATTTGTTAGGAGAAGCCATAAGAAGCTGGTCTGCAATAAAATTCAAGGAAAATATAGTTGGCTAGGGAAAAAGCAATATAAAACTTTTAAAGACACACATATAGCTCTGATTTTAAAAGGTTTGTAACTGTTAAACATAAATCAATCTAAGGAACATTTAAAAACTTACACTATCACTTAAGTGACCATATACAGCCGATGAAGCATATCATTAACTGTGTCTTATATGTAATTTAGATGGCAAATTTTACCATTTCACAAATGTTCAGGTCTGGCTATGAGATTGCTTTAAGAACTACACTTAGCTATATGAGATGAAGGTTTGTTATTGGCTGTATATATTTTATTTATACACTGTAATTTTTGTTTTTTAAGTATCAAAGTGTAATTACAGCTCATTTGGTCATTAGAAATAAATACCAATGGTTTTGTTGGTATTCTTCTAGTTCAGGAGAGATCCATTAAAACTGCACCACTTGAAATTCAGTTGTTTAATCATACGCCTTTGAATGATGATTTATTTACAATAAGCAAAGTGTAATGAACTAAATCTGAAATTAATTTGTTCAATTTATTACATTACATTATAGTACATTAATTTTGTTTTCAGATGCTGCCTGGAAAAACTAAAAGACCAGTGTTGCCGTGGAGAAGGAAATTGAAACTTGATAATGAAATATCTGAGATGTAAAGAGGAGGCAAATAAAATTTAATTTGCATGTTGCATTAGCAAATATGATTAATTTTGTAATGATTAAATTGTGTGGTTGGTGCACAGAAAGGAGCAGTCAATTTTTGAGACTGTTTTATTTATTAAAAATAGGTACCTAAAACTGTATCTACTGCTGAAATAAAACAACGTTCCATATTACGTATTGATCTTTTCCATACTTATGATTTCAACTTTAAAACTCAACAATTGACTTGTCTGCTTTCAATTGCCGACCACACACTTGTAAGGTAAATCAGAATGGGAATGGATAAGGGAAGATGAATGGTTCTGTTTTTAGTAAGCCACAGTTTCAACTATTTTGCCAATTTTTTTAGCAGTATTCACAATCCTTCTTTCTCCTGTGTAGACAAATGTAGTCAAAGATCCCATATCAGTCACAGCCATATTTACTCTTTAACTATTAAAATTTGTGACATTCTAGCATGCTTACAGTGTCTTAATACCAATAAAGGTCTTGGTCCAGATGGAATATCGTAACTTATTTTTAAGGAATTGTGCATTCTTTTTATGTAGGCCTCTATTGCTTATTTTTTATAAATCTCTGAGGGTCACTTTTCATCACAATTTATTTATGGATTTTATCCATTGATTCAGCCATTAACTTATTAATTCCTAATTATCGTTCCATTATAATTCTTTCTACTATTCCTAAAATTTTCGAGGCTTTACTGACTAATTTTTTGACAATAAATCTGAAGAATCAGCTTCATACTGGTCAGCATGGTTTACTTACTGTCTAGTTGTTCAACTTCTACTAATTTACACTTATTATGTTATAATTGCATTAAAAAACATTTTTTATGTTGATTAGATTTATACTGACTTGTCGCATCTACTGTTCTTGCAAATTGTGTAGACCATATTCTTATTCGGGTATGATCAATTTCTTGAATCTGGATTCTCTTATCAAAAGTGTTACCTTTTAATCTTTATTTTTAAACTTGTTCCTAAAATAACCAATCTCCTGAATTTCTTCAGCTAGTTTGTTTTAATATTCCTCTCATTCACTGTGTCAGTATTTATATTTCCATGTTCCTTACCGCAGAACTAATTATGATTCACACATAGATATGGTCT